TCATCGCCAGTAGGTTGGAGGCCATTGCTAGTAGGTTGGATGTCATCACTAATAGGTTGGAGGCTGGTGCGATTAGAAACAAAGAAGAAGAAAAGGAGAAAGGCACCAACATCTATTTGTTTCATGTGGAGCCGATGTATTGAGGTTTGCAGTGCAACCGGCCAGCACTAGCTACTTGGCTCCAAGATTTGTGTTGTGAACCACTCTGGACACAAGAGTATGTCTAACTTTTTTTCAATGTTTATCATGCCATTTAGTGGTGCAACCCGACGGCGTCATTGATATTGTATGATGCATGAAAACGACGATTGTAACGAGGAGGATTGTTGGCTTTCTGCTTCCGAGGCCACGGCCACAGCAGTGGCATGGTCTTGATGCAGGAGTCAAAGCGAAGCAGTGGAATGGTCCATGGAACAAAGTGGAACATTGTTCTTGTTTGGAGTCAAAGGCCGATTGAAGTCAAAGTTACAGCAATTCAGGCCAGTAGAGCTCATTTTGTATGTTGACTTGCTGCAGGAGCACAAAGCGGACCAGCATGCCGGTCAGGAAGAAGAAGAAGGGTGCGAGATGAAGGGACTCTAGTAACTAGTAGTGCTAGTGAAGTCCAGATGTGTCCAACAAATCTGTTGTCTTCAGTTTCTTGTTCTCAAGCATCGTTGCCACTCTTTGTTCGATTTCTTTGCGCTGAGCACCTTTTGAGTAAGAAATCGCCGATTCTGTGTTTGTGCTTTGCCAGGTTCAACTTCTTCACATGGCTATACAACCTCTTTGCCGGTGGTTCGGAGGACGCAGGGCAATGCTTTCCTTCAAGCTATCAATTGCTTCGGGGGGGGCCGCAACCTTGCTTGCGACTGGCAATCTTTTCTCCCATGCAGGAGAAGTCGGTGAAAGTAGAGGAGAAGTCCGTATATGTCACAGTTACCAGGGAGAAGAAAAACCATATTAGACCTTTCTTTTCTTTTTTCATTGTTTTAAATAGCACTGGCCTCCAACCTACTAGCGAAAAGAACAAAGAAGAAAGACATGGACAAGAGAAAAGGACGCAAAAAAGAGAAAGGACGCAGAAGGATGCAGAAGGAAGTAACAAGAAGCTACTAGGGGCTCCTGGCATCGCTACTAGGAGCAAGGACGTTAGTAGGGGCTCCTGGCCTTACTACAGGTAATAAGAAGCTACTAGTAACAAGTGCATCGCTACTAGTAACAAGTGCCTTACTAGTAGTAACAAGAAGCTACTAGTAACAAAGGGCATCGCGACGAAACGTCTCAGATCCAAATCCGAATCCAGGAAGCTGAATCTTGGGACTCGGAGATCCCAGGCCCTTCCCTCAAGGAATTCTTTTTCCACTTCTTTCTTTCATTTCTTTTTTTCATTTCTGTTTCATTTTCTTTTCATTTTTTCGGACCTTTATACAGACCTTTCCTTTTTGCGTCCTTTCATTCAGCATTTCTTCTCTCTCGATTCCCAGAAACACATTGGAATTAAAAAGGATTGGAGATGCACCAGGAGCCATACCCGACCACAATTGAAATGCGTTCCATGTACATGTGGACAAAAGTGAAACCACTTTCAGACTAGAATTACCCATGATTGCTTAGGAGGTGGTTGGAGTTCCGTGTGGGATCCAAGCATTTCTTGCAAGCAACTAGCAAGCGAGCTTGCTCAGCCTGAATGTCTTTCTCAATCACTCGCAAAGCAAGCTCGGCCAAGGAGACCAAGACCACAAACACGCACTCGACCACGACAGTGGAGCCAAGTTGCTGCCAGCTGTGTCCAGAGTCGCTTTGTTTCACTGTGTGCGTTGGACCTTTAATAAGAAGCTACTAGTAACAAGTGCATCGCTACTAGCAACAAGTGCCTTACTAGTAGTAACAAGGACGCTACTAGGAACAAGTGCATCGCTTCTAGTAAC